ATTTACCACTGACCATTACTCCTCTTCCAGTATCTGCCATGATGAAGAGAGATTGCTGTGTCCCAGCCCAACCAAGAGACACCCCAAATGCAAAGGGACAAGCAGAGTTGACAGAATTTACATTTAAGACATAGAAAATATACCAACTGGAAGTCAATAAGAGATCCATTGATGAAATAAACCTGGAACAACAAGATCAGCAAGACTCATCAGGGTTTTCTGTCTTTTCTACTAAACTAGTGAATATTATTTTTCTTAATAAAATAAGCTCAGAGTAAGGATAATCAGAATTAAAAGTCTGTTCTAGTACAGAACTTTAGCACTTCTATTAAATTTCAAGGTTCTAATTAACCACAGTTCCTATACTCTCCTTGTCATTCCTCTGAAAAGAAGCTGCTCCAGCAGAAAGGAGATTAACACTGCCCTGAGACCAACTACTCAAACAGCTGGACCCCAGCTCTGAAGCAACAGATGGAGTGTGACCATCATCACCTCCTAATGGGTTTCCAAATTCATTTGCATGTAAACCCAGGGAAGTGTGGACTCAAGACAATTTAAAGAGTAACTGGGGCTTACCTGATGTATTCCCCCTGAGTTTGCATGCCACTGGAAGAAACATACTCACATTATAAATAAGTAGTCACTTGGTCACTTGCAAGTGACAAACAAACTGAGGAATAATCTGTTTCCACATGCCAGAGTTTGTATCTGTATCTGGCTGCAACTTGAAAGTTGCAAAAGAGTTTTCTTGGTTTGTTTGTTGATGACAAGAGGTACAAGCAACTTACTTCAGCCACCACAAATACAATTTAGGTACATTCAAGGTACACAGAGTCCCAGCAACAGTCCAGGTTTAGTATTAATTGCAGAAGTCTAAAGTTCTTAGAGCCACCTTCAGCAGAAGCCACTTATTTTGTTTAACTGCCACTCATATTCCTGCTATCAAGGAGAAATGCTCTCAGGCATCCCCTCGTGTACTGCAGCTGCACTCAAAAGTCCCAAAGGACTGCTCCTCAAAGATTTTACATGTTCAGAATCTTTCCTTGTTTTTTCCCCCACTCAGAGCTCACAAATGAACACACATAATTTCTTGTGTAGTCCTTCCCTCTGCAATTCCAGGCTTTTCAATTCCTTAGTCAATCATTACACTTCAGGCCACAAACAAAAAGAAAACACTCATGGATGTACTGAAACCTTGAGCTGGTATTTCCATTCTCAACAGGAAAACTAACATAACCAAAAGAGCTCAACAGATTATACTTCAGGCTTCTAAAAGCTGAACTTTTTCTCTCTTCAGATCAAAATCTCCTAAACAAGCTGGTGCAAGTACCACTCTGGTGCTTGTAGATTGCTGTAATTATTTTCTTATGCAACTAAACCGGGTTTTTTTAAGCAGCATGATATTCACATACTTGAAACAAAAAAACATTTAGACAAGGAACATCAGAGTTGTGACCCGTTGAGTGTCTGAGCTCTTTAACTTCTATCAAAGGAAGCAAATCGAGTAGCAAGGCCAACCCATCTGTTTTGGATGGAAGGTATCAGAAAATTCCTGTAGCTACAGTTGAAAAGCATCAAAATACTCTGTAATGCCACTACACATTGCTTAGATTTGAAACTTAAGGTACATGACAGTTTTCCACCATAGCCAGGAGTCACCTTAAAATTCAGGCCTCAGCAGCCAGACAGCCCTGTCCTGTGCACTTTCCTTTTCCAGGTGGGTGTGCTGAAGTCCTGAAGCCTGTGTACTCATACCAGAACATTAACACTACTGCTTTTCACTTCAATCATCAAAAAGTTCCAAAAAGTTACTTTGAAACTTAGCCTCGATTAACAAGCAAAACCCGAGTTAACCGATGACTATTTACCTTAAACCAAAGCAAAACTCCTGTATTTGAATACCATCCCACAAGTGCCAGAAAAAGCTAGCAAGGCCCTGAACCATCACCTGTACTAAATGGAAAAGTAAATTCTGTATCACATGTTTATTTTGCTTCAGCATTTTGTTTCTCACTAGGGTTTCCCCAAAATGGGAGATGAGAACCAGAGAGAACAGGGTAAGCAAAGAACTCAGCATTAAGAAGATATCAGAAAGGCAAGAAGGTGAAAACTCAAAATAAAGTGGAAGCTGACACTAACGTCAATTCATACTTAGCACTGTTATTTTCAGAGAGGTTTCACATTGTGTTCTCTGAAGCAGTTTCTTCATTCTCAATAAGCTGTACAGTTGCCTAAACACTACTGCAATAAGCATTTCAGAAATATCCAACACTGTTACAAGAGTAGGAATGCTTCTCCTTCAGAGAGGAGTTTAGTCATGGCTGGAAAATGAAAATTGACCATTTAATCTCAGAGATTTACACTGCATTTCTAACTCTGATCTCAGTGTTGCAGAAGCTTAGGCGGACCATTGTCTGCCCAGGCTGAGGACTGTGTGGAAAAACGGGCTAAGGTTGCTGCAGCTGTACTTGACAATGTCACACAGATTTAAATGCTATTTGATAGGATCATTTCCACTTCACATTGTCCACATATAGTACTAAAAATTCATCTGAGATCTTTTATTGCCAGTTAAACACATGGTGATCTTGGCTTCATTAAGCCTTAGCTGGTGATCATTGAACTTCCTGAAAAAGTGAAAAGAACGCGTAGTCCAAACACTGTTACAGAAAGAGCAGCAATCACGTGCACTTGACAACTTGCACTGTCAAAGAAGCTAAATAAGTTTACTTTAAACACTGGATGTTTATCCACAGAACAAAGTTGAATGCAAGAGAGTACAACAGAATTAGCCTAAAATAAAAGCACTGACAATCACTCTGTTTTGAAAGCCGTTATTCTGTCCTGCTATTTGATTTCTTCCTGAGGATTATGGCAGAATATCAAGGTGTTATCAGGTTTCTCTCTGATGAGCAAAAATGCAAACAAAATATCTACTGCCTTCCCACCAGAAAACTCTTCCAGTTTTCTTTGTTTGCTCTTCCTCCTTCTGCCTACTTCTTCCAGAGTGACTATTCCCAAGCCATTCCCCAAAAAACTTATGGGGGGAGTCTAAATTGTATTCTTGTACACAAGAGCCACCTGTGTCATCTGGAGAAGCAAGGGAAGGAAGAGTCTGACACATACCCAAAAGAGAACCCTAACCTAACCTTAACACTCCCAAATCACCATCTGCAAGGCCAAAAGGGCAATCAATCTGCTGAACCATATTAACCCACTTTAAAGCTACTTCCAAATTTTATTTTCAGGATCAGAAGAGCTTAAAAGGTTCAACTGACATAGTCCAAGAAGTGCTGTTAACTATCAGAACACCTGACTGCTATCTTGAGGACCAGGATTCTACTCTGAATTCTGCAAATCTACCCAGAGCCATCCAGCAAACAAGTGTTTCAAGTGTGTGACTCTGCCTCCTCTGCTACAAGGAGGAGACACTTTTCTTTCCAAAGCACACCAAGTTCTGCTGTTGAAAGCTCTACACCTTCTGCATACATAAAATATTACATCATTTCACCATAGCTGCTACTGCTTAGACAACTTAAAGAGGAAGGAGTCTCAGATTTTTCCATTTTCACAAACTGCTCCCCTAAAATCTTCTCCTACTACTTGAAATTAGCAGCAGCAAAAAAATAAATCACTGACAGAACCACAATAAGAATTAAGATCTAAAATAAGACTCCTTATTTCTAGGCATACAGATTTAAAAAATCATAACTCTCTTTGCTCACATAACTACAGAGAGAAGCTTCTGAATTTCAACTTTCTTGCAGTTAATGGGCTCCAGCCTGAAAATGGACAAAAAAAAAGGAAAAGAAAATTAGACAACAATTTTCCTGTTCATTAACAGAAGTGAAAGCCCTTTATGGAATAGCAGCATTCTTAAAAACAAGAGTCATTGTATGTGTGCACTTATTAAATGCACATAAAGCTTCTATTTAAACACGAATCTGGAAACTCAAAAGTAACTCGTTATCTTTAACTTGCACAGTTCCCTTTCCTTTAACTTTCTATGAAATCTCACAGAGCCTCACAAATCCATGCCCACAAAAGAATGGTGACGGTCCCACAGAAAAATATAGGCAGGAAAGCAGCATTTCTTTTAGGGAAAGATTATGAGGATGAAGAGAGAAACACTCCTGAGTGAGCTTTTTATGTATCTTTAGGTATTTTCTAAAATGTGATCACTGCACAGGGCATCAAGGCTTGTATCCCTGAAAGGAACAGTATTAGTCAAGGCTGGTTTTCCCTAGTTAGGGAAATACTGGTCTGTAGACCCAAGGTTCTACCATCAGCTTTTACAGTCTCCAGTCAGTAGAGAAACACACTGCCAACACTATAAAACCCGCACACACACCGAGAGAAAACTTTCCCACAAAGGCACTAAACCGGAGTTATTTCCATTTCAGCTCCAGGTTTGATAACACTTCACAATTCCCAACTCTGCGGGCCTACACTCCCACATTTCTAAAGATGCACCAAGTAACAGCCACTTGCAGCATCTGTACGAGGACCCTTTCTTGTCCCATCTCGAGGTGCACAGACGGGGATATTTTGCAAAAGCAGAGAAATTCCTCCTCATTTCTTCAAGCCTTGAAGTTTCTCCAATTCCGACTTCGAGGATGCTCTCATAATGTTTTTTCCAGAAGGCAGGCCACACCTATATCCTCTTTCCTCTGCGTTTCCACAAAGCTTTTCTCAATCCCCTCTGCAGGGAAATTTCCTTTGAGCCTTTTTCACGGAAGCCTTCAGCCGGGTAACGCCGGAACCCACACTCCCCGGGCCCCAGCAGCACAAAGGTGCCCGCCCTCCCAAACACCTGCACCGAGACCCCTTCCCGGGAGCGGCGAGCACCGAGAGCCGCGGCGGGACAAGCCGGGGGCGCAGCCGCCGCCCCGGCCGGGCTCTCACGTCCTTTTCCGACAGCGACTCCGGGCACGGCCCAAGCTCCCGGCGCTGCGGGATGTGCCGGCGCCGGCCTCCCACCCCCCTCCGCCGCCCCTCACCTTGAGGATGTTCTCGTAGATGGTGGCCCGGAACTCCAGCAGCGCCTTCTGGTCGAACTCGCGGCCGTGGATGATCCGCATCTGCTTGAGGAAGGTGGACTTGCCGCTCTCGCCCGCGCCCAGCAGCAGGATCTTGACGAGGCGGCGCACGGCGCGCCGCTCCCGGGCCAGCATCGCGTCGATCTCCCGGCTGCGCCGCCGCGCCTCCCGCTCGGCATCGCGGCTCCGCTCCTTGCCGTCCCTCCGCGGCTGCTCCCCGGCGCGGCCCGCGGCCTCGGCCGGCAGCAGGCAGCGGCTCAGGGTGCGCACCACGCCGGACATGGCGGCGGCGGCCCGGCCGGAGCGCTCACAACGCCGCCGCCGAGACCCCGAGCTCCGCCAGCATCGGGCGGAGGCCGCCGAGACGCTGCGACCGGGAGGAGGAGCAGCCGCAGCCTGGGGGCTACGGGCCGGGACCGCCCATTCCTCGCTCCGGCTCGGCGGAGGGAGGGAGCGGCCGGCCGGGGGAGGGGGTGCGGGCGGCGGGGCGCGGCCCGCAGGCCCTGCCCGGGGAGGGGGCGCGGCCGCTCCGAGGGGGCTGCGCGGGGCCGGGGGCGGCGGGAGGCTCCCGGAGCCCTCGGCGCGGGGTCGCGGCGGTGCCGCGGCGGGCGGGGGACACGCGGCCCCGGCCCCTTGCCCTGAGCGCCGCCGCCCGCGCGGGGAGGCGCCCGCGCCACCCACATTGGGCGGCAGCGCTGTCGCTCAAAGCATCCGTTCTGCAATTGGATGAGCCGGCATGTGGGGCGGGACCAAGCAGGCGACGCGGCTCAGGGCACGGCAGGGCGGGCAGTGCCGGGAGGGGGCGGGGACAGGCGCGCGAGCACCAATCAGCAGCGAGAGGGCGTGGTCTCGCTGTCGGGGGCGGGGCCTGGTGGCATAACGAGAAGGCGGGCGCGCCGCCCGTGGCGTGACGTCACGCCAGCAAACGGGACACAGTGTGACGTCACTGTTCGCCCGGGATGACGTCAGGGGAGCCGGTGCGGCGGGGCCCGGGCGGGCCCTTGGGGTTCAGGCCGGCGGTACCGGGCGCTGTTTGTAACGTGTGGGTCAGAACCCAGCGGGGTTTGTTCTCACCACACAACGTGCGGTGACGTAAAGAAACGTGCCATTGCTGACGTCATCAGGGACCACACGTCCATGGCACTGCAGCATCCGCAGATCCTTGCTGAGCCAGGTTAAACCGCGCAGGGATTTGTCTCCCCAGCCCCGGCTGCCCTCAGGAGCGGATCCTGGGTGGATCCAGCCTCCTGTGACACCCAAATCCAGCAGCCAGGGTGAGCCGCTGCCGTGGGGCGCTTCAGTCCCTGCTGACAGCGGTGTCATCCCTCACAAACCCTGCACCAATCCACTGCCGGGCTGGTGGCGAGCTGGGATTAAAGTATCAAAGTACACGTTGGAAAGAAAATCCCCTTTGGTCTCGTGATTAGGTGGTGGAGGGAAAAAAACCATTTTGGGAAGCAGCTGGTGTGTGATCACCGAGCAGTGGCTGGGATCCCAGACCTTCTGGCTGCAGAATGAAATCATAAAAGACAGGCACATGTCCTCAGCTCTATGAGATTATTTGTCCTTTCTGCATTACTTCTGTCTGTGCTTCCAAGTATTTACGGCATAAACATCTATTCCAGTTTAAGTTTCAGATTGTTTATCCTCCCCAGGCCTGTTCCAAACATGGCACACAAGTATGGATAGCTGAGGGAAACAACTAGAATGACTGGGATTTCATAGAATATTAAGGATGCTAAGAGTCCCAGGCTGGTTTGGGTTGGAAGGAACCTTAAAGGTCATCTTGTTCCACCCCCTGCCATTGAGGGACACCTTCCACTATCCCAGGTTGCTCCAAGCCTGGTCTAATCTGTCCTTGGACACTTCCAGGGATGGGACAGCCACAGCTTCTCTGAGCAGCCTGTGCCAGGGCCTCCCCACCCACACAGGGAACAATTTCTTCCTAATATCCAATTTAAATCCACCTCTCTTCAGCTTAAGGGCATTCCCCTTTGTCCTGTCACCACCCTGTCAAAAGTTCCTCTCCAGCCCCCTTGTAGGCATTGAGACATCTTAGAAGGTCAGGGCGTCACAGATTTAAAACAAAAAAAATTAAATAAAACCTTCCATGGAGGTGAGAATCCTGTGTGAAGATTAATCCCACTGAGATGTCAACTCTTCCCCAAAGTCTGAGTGTTTTTCTCCTCGGCAAGAGACATTTCAAACCACATTTAGATATTGCAGATTTCAGGAGACCAGCACGAAACTCTCAGTCCTGAGCCATTCACCACAGAAGCTTTCTTGAACAATTTCCCTTCCATGGTCTTACCCTTCGGTTGCAGTTTGAGCCTCAGGAGCGGCTCATTCCCCCACAAGAAGCTGCTGTAGTTCAGGAGTTTCCCACTGGATGTCATGATTGCCCCGCCAGAGCCCAGCCTCACCGGTGGGATGGAGACAACCCAAGCCCGAACCCCCGCTCTGTGATTTTCCCAACAGCTGAGCACTCAGGGCCCCGCTGGCATCCACAGATGTTCAACTGCAAATCAGGAGCTGTGCCGTGCCCAGATTGGCCTTTTCTGATGAGCTCGGTTTCTCCTGCCCCCCGGCTTTGTCTGTGCCCTACTTGAGGTCCTCTTCAGACTTCTGAGGTGCTGAGGGGTTTTGGCAGAGAGTTCAGTAACTGTGAAGTCCCACTCCAGTGACAGACCTGCTTCATCTGGGAGAGGAAATTGTGGTGTACAATAAACTAATCAAACAAATCAGTTGCCAGCCGTCCTTAGTTCTCCATGCATTCATCCATGAAAGCAGCTTTCAACAGCTCCCATCTCATTGTGAAAAGGAAAAGGTCCAGCCCTGCCTCCATCCCCCGCAGCCCTGTGGTTCCCCATGGACTCCCTGGGAAGCTGCTCCCGGAGCAGCACAAAGCAGAATTCTGTTCCTGCAGCTGGGGCTGTGCCCAGGGCCGGGCAGGGCTCACAGCCATGTGACAATCACTACTGACAGCCCTGCAGAGGCTTTGTCATGAGCCTGAGCAGGAGGGGAAGGTGTCCCTGCTGAGAGTCAGGTTTGTTCTCAGCCTCAGAGAATTCCCTTTCCCCTTTTCCTTATTACCTGTCCAGCTCCATGCTTCAGGATTTCCGGTTTGTCTCTCTTTGGGCTTAGACTGAAATTAAAACAACTTGTATTGATACAAATTAAAATAAAGCAATATCAATTAATTTTTCTATTATTTGGCCTTCTCAGTTTTCATGTTTTTAACTTTTTTTTTTCTATTTCTACTCTGTTTGAAAACAACTTGTATTGATACAAAGTAAAATAAAGCAATATCAATTACTTCATTTTTCTATTATTTTGCCTTCTCAGTTTTCTTTTTTTTTTTACTTTTTTTTTTCTATTTCTACTCTGTTTTCCTCTTTCCCAGTCTTAACACTCGTGCAGCCAAAGAAAACTGAAGTAGTTTGGCATCTCTCAAGAAAAAATCCACTTATTAGTGAACTTGTATCTCAGTATTTGCCTTGTCCCTTTTAATGCCACTGGAAGGGCTGAGAGAATGGGGTTTGTTCAGCCTGGAGAAAAGGCTGAGGGGAGACCTTATCTATCACCACGTCCCAGTATTTAAAGGGTGGCTACAAAGAAGATGGAGTCTCCCTCTTTACCAGGAAAGGACTGGGGGAATGGGTACAAGTTATCCCTGCGGAGATTCTGACTGGACACAAGAGGAAAAATTTTCAAAAGAAGAACAATCTGTCATTGGAATAATCTCCCCAGAGAAGTGATGGATTCCCCAGTATTGGACACTTTTAAGGTTCAGCTGGTGAACCTTAAATCAGTGCTGGAACATCTTGTCTAGACCAGGTTTTTGCCAAGAAAGGCTTGACTGGATGATCCTTGAGATCCCTTCCAACCTGGGGAGGAACTCTATGATTTCAGTGTGTTCTGATTTTTAATCATATTTTCTTTCCCCTTTGATAGCTCTGTGAATACAGAGGCTGCAGAACCTTTGGTTCCTACTGTTTGTGAGTTCTCTTGCAGTGGATTCTCTTGCAGTGGCCCAGTCCAGCTGCCACCAAGCAGTCAAAACTCTAAATTATGTCAAAGCAATTATTCCTGATTTTCTTATTAAATTGACAGACACTATTTTTTCTTTTCCATGTGGTATTTTCATCTTCTGTCCCACAGAAGACGCATTACTCATATACATAAAATATGTGAGTCGTGACACTTCATGGAGTTAATTTTCACTATTTTCAGACTGCTTGACAGCAGCCTGTTCTCCTTCATTAAACACCAGCCAGTGAGTGGATTAGTTTACTTTCAAAACACAAAACCTCATATTAATCCACAAACAATTAATTATTGGGAGAAGACAAGCATATTTTGAACCCAGCCTGTGACTTTCCTACTTATTTCATGCTACGAGGCATGATCTGTGTAATTCCAGGCATGTCCTGCCAAGCATCCTGCAGTGCTTGGTGAAGATTGGATATTAGGAAAAAATCCTTTCCTGTGAGGCCCTGGCACAGTTTCCCAGAGAAGCTGTGGCTGCCCCATCCCTGGAAGTGTCCAAGGCCAGGGTGGGCAGGACTTGGACCCTTGGGATAGGGGAAGGTGTCCCTGCCCAGGGCAGGGGGTTGGAACCCAACAGTGTTTTAGGTCCCTTCCATTCAGAGTTTCTGTGAAGTTACTGTGATTACCCCTCAGGATGATGAACCTTGGTTCTGAGAGTGAAATAAGATCAGAAGTTGAGGTTTTGCTCCAAGGTGTTTCCTCAGAGGGCACAGAACCTGGGGTTGTGGGGCCTGAGTGGGGCTTTCTCAAGTTCTGAGTTTGAAATCTGGGGACACATTCCTGCAGCAAAAGGGACAGAACAGGCTTGTGCTGGCTCAAGTGCTCTTGGGGTCCAGAAAAACTTGGCATTGAAGAACAAGTTAAAAGCAGACCTAAGTCCTGAAAGCATTTGGACCTCTGATTTTGAGTACAAAAGGCTCCAGCAATAAGTAGCTTTGTCAGTTTAGGTGCATTTTGTTTAGTCATCTATGTCATAAAAAGTCATTAGAAAACAAGATGAGTGACATTAAGAGGGGAAAAAATGGGCACAAATCTGTAAATTGCATAAACAAAGCCAAAGCCCTGGGAGCAGAACCTTACATATTTGCTGCCAAGCTATGTCCATTTTTTCTGCATTGTTTTTAAAATGACTTTTCATCTGGTGATGCAGAGCCAAATATCTGCACTGGTAGCATGTATCTCCCCAAACCCGACAGAAATTAGCAAGCCTTAATAAAATTTATGCATGGCTTGCTATTGCAGTTCCACATCTAAAGGGAAAACAGATGTTCTCTTTAGTTATTCTCTTCATGTCCAAAGGAAAGCTGTTGGTTACAGTTTGTGTTTAAAAAAAACTGGTGCTGAAAAGGTTACAAATGATGCAATTTTTGCAATCCTACTCAGAGACTCTCTGTGAACCTGAATTGCTGAGGTGACACTTGCAGATGCCTGTCACCCACTTACCAGCCTCATATTTCTTAACACCTCCACTTCAGGATGAATAAATGGAACAGAGTTCCCAGTATTTGCCTGAGA